ACTCAAATTGTTAATTTTAGAATTCACTTTCCTCTTTAAATTTTAACAATGTCTCGTTCGTTTCGCTGATTCGAATTTAGAATTCGAGTTGATATGTGAGAGTTTTTTTCTGTAGTAAAAAAGTTAGATGTGACTGTTTGTGAGAGCTTTTTACTGTAGCAAAATTTTAATTCTAAACTCGAATCAGAGAAACGAACGAGGCCAACATTGTCAACAATTTAATAGTTGGGAGAAAGTGGAAAATAGGTCAAGACTTAAGATGAATTAAAATTAATAGGTCAATAGTTTATATAAGTTAATAAATAGGCTAAATTATTGTTTTCATCCATAACTTGTCTGGTTATGAACCATAACTTGATAAGTTATTGTCCATAATTGTTTATAACTTGTCTGACTATGAACCATAACTTGACAAGTTTGTCCATAATTTATCTGATTATGAACTATAACTTGACAAATTATGACCTCTAAATTTTTATAACTAAAAGTTAGCTTATATACTTTCTTAAGCTTTTCATATTGGCCTATTTTCTACTATTTCCGTTTTTAAATTTCCTTTCCGGCAAAAAGTTAGTTTAGTTGGTTACCGAAGGGAACAAAATAGTTGGGCTTTTACTGTATAGAGATGTAGCCCAAAGCCCAGTTTCTTTCCAACGGTCGAATTCTTTTTCTTTTTTTTTTTTGGCGGTCGAATTCTATTTGTCCTTTTTGTTTTGTTTTTCTCATAGCTTAAATAATTCTCCATAATTCTATTTGTTTTTCAAGGTTGTAAGAACCTATGCAATGCAAGTATGGCGTTATGGGGACTGTCAGAAGCAGAGGTTTTTGTTTCTCATCGTCATTACCATGAATGTTCTTGTTATTATTATTTTTATTGTTATTATTATTATTATTATTATTTTTTAATCTTTTGGCTGGAAATTGGAATTTTCGTCACATTGTATGTCAGGCATATTTTATTTACTAAGTTTTCAGGTTGTAGTAGCAAATAGCAATTGAAACTGAGCTAATTGGACCAATATATTTGTGGGAAATAATAGAAAATATGCCAATATGAAAAACTTAAAAAAGTATATAGGTCAATTTTTAGTTATAGAAATTAATAGGCCATAATTTGTCAAGTTATGGTTCATAATCAAATAAATTATGGACAAACTTATCAAGTTATGGTTTATAGCCAGACAAGTTATAAATAATTATGGACAATAACTTGTCAAATTATGGTTCATAACTAGACAAGTTTTAGATGAAAACAGTAATTTAGTCTATTTATTAACTTATATAAACTATTAACCTATTAATTTTAATTCATCTTAAGTCTTAACCTATTTTTTACTTTCTCCCTATATTTGTCAAGAACTTAGGAACCCACTAATAAGGCCAAAGAATTTAATAGCCCACTATTTTTGGAGGAACAAGTCCTTATCAGGACTGGGCCTAAAGCACTCTGGACCACTCATCTCCGATTCTGATCCGTATCCATAGTAGATAGCCTTTGGGGCAGGGTGAAAGTGGGTTTTCAAACGTACACAAATCAAAGAAAAACAATGGTCGTATTTAGAATTGATTTCGTTTTTATTTTTTATATTTTTTAAAAAAGAAAAAATAAAAATATTTTTAAAATGATGTTTGGCTCAATAAAAATAAAAAATATAAATGAAAACGATTTTTTGGTTTAGTGTAAAATGAGAGAAAAATGAAAAACGACATTTAGTCATTTTTTATTTTTTATTTTCGTTTTCTCCTCTCTCGAGCAGAGAGAGAAATAGAGACATTAATGAGTTTTTTTACACTGAAAATAATATCTTGATAAAATTACCAAATGCATTTATAAAAATGATTTCTGTCTGAGATTGAAAACGTTTTCATTTTCATTTTTATACAAAAAATAAAATTATTTTAGAACGAATTCTAAACGTGTCCAATAAAATTATGAAAGTGGATATTCGGATGCAGAAAATTTAGAAATCAATCAAGATCAATGTGCTGGTGTGTTGTTCTTTTTTTTTTGTTCTCATTTTTCTCGCATTACAGTTTATTTATAATTAATTTGGAAGTACAATTATTATGAAAATAGAAATAAAAACAAGTGGAATATATGTGCATATATTTCAATTTTCATTATCTAATGTCAATATCGGAATGACACCGATGTCAATGTCTCTCTCTCTCATAGGGACCAAAGAAATGCCTCTTTTGTTGTAACATGGAATTTTGTTGGGCATCATTACCAATGGTGGTTGCAACACCCCAAACACTGCATTGGGACTGTGGGGTTTTCCCAAAGTGAAAGAAGAAAGTAAAATGGGAATTCGTCACGGGAAAAAGTTGTGAAAAAGAGAAGATGTGCTAATGAATTGCAAAATCTTAGGCATTATGATGTGTAAGGAATAAATGTTATATCCAAAATTCCAAGGGGTAAAGTTAGACCCAAAAAAAAAAAAAAAAGATAGATATAATCTTGGCGGGAATGATGTTTGATGAGAGAGTTAGGTGCCAAGAAATCATTGAATTGCTTTGCACTGTGTCTATTACACTAAACCCAAATATTCTATATGATATTAAGAATGAATTAACGTTTAGTTTATGAATTTAGAATCATGATTCAGAATCATTCTCATTTTACGTGTGTTTTTTGTGAAAGAAAAATACTGTAAAAAATTATAAATCATGATTTAAAATCAGAGATTACTACAGAAAATAAACGTCTTTTCAAGTTTTAGCAATTTCCAGCTATCTTTGCCATAGAATTTACCAAAAAAAAAAACGATAAAAAAGAAAGAGCAAGAGCTGAAAAGACTGGATTATTTCTGAGATGGGCTGGTAATTATGGCCATATTGGCCCACCGCTGCGATAGGTTTACAACGAGCCCAAATTCGCCAACCCACTAGGCACTAGCAGAGAAAGGTGAAGAAAGATAGTAATTGTGAAAAGAGAAGAGCAGAAAGGAGAAAATTAGGTAGCAATCGCAACGTTTAAATATATTCAGATTTATGATAAAAATATTTTTGTGGTTTGGATTTATGCTGCATTTTGTCAAATTTAACTAAGGTTATTTATGTGACAAATAAAAGCTTCAACATTCACGATATAAATCTGAGATTTTTTTAACGTTCTTAAAATTTCTCGAAAAGAGTAGTTTAATACATCACTCACTAAGAAGTTATTGCTAAAAATAAAGACTTTGGGGATGGTTTTACCTTCTCCGATTCCCCCATATTTCAAAATGTTCATAGGATTATCTTCTCTTTCTTATGCTTTCTCTTCACTCATGCCTCTTATGTTGTCGCCGCCACCTCTAACCTCTTAATGTTACTGGGGAGAAATCCATCTCAACTCCGTTCTCCTGCCTTGCCAATACGAGATCTCAACATGGGGGTAAAAAACATTCGGAAATAATAGAAAATATGCCAATATGAAAAGTTTAAGGAAGTATATAGGCCAACTTTTAGTTATAGAAATTAATAGGCCATAACTTGTCAAGTTATAGTTCATAACCAGATAAGTTATGGATAAACTTGTCAAGTTATAATTTATAACCACACAAGTTATGGACAAAAATCGTGATTTATGGACAATAACTTGTCAAGTTATGGTTCATAACCAGACAAGTTATGACAAGTTATGGACAAAAACAGTAATTTAGCCTATTTATTAACTTATGTAAACTATTGGCCTATTAATTTTAATTCATTTCAAGTTATGGTCTATTTTCCTCTTTCTCCCAAAAACATTATATGCAAATACTTATAGTATAAATTATTCAAAGCATGGATTTGTAGTATTTCTATTAAGTGCTCCCACAAAAATACAATTTATAATGAAGAAAAACATAAATCACAATTGGAAGGGTTAACAATAAGAATAATTTGGTCGAGTATTTAGCAAAACAGAAACAATAACAAGTTGGTCGAGGATAATATCTTTTAATTGGAAGACTTGATGGATTGGAAATAAGGCAGGTACAGGGTATTCAGAATAATCAATGGCAATTATATAGCCAATATTTATTTATATGTTTGTTTGTTTCTATTTAACCGACTCCTCCAAATTCAAAGCAATTATATTTTTGCTAGTTTCAACCGTTGTTCTCTCATCATTTGGTGCCTTCTTATTGTGACTCAATAATTAAAAAGCATCTAGATTATTGGAAAGTAAATAGGAAACTTTACCTCAAATCATAACCAATATTCTTTTTTTATTTATTTGTTCATATTTTTATTGGTTTTATTTTATTCTTGGTTGGGTGTGGTTGGCGCGACAGGGACAGAACATCCCTCGTCTGAATCCTCTGATCAATTCCACTAATGCCCTTTCGAGTGGTCTGAGCATTCGATAATCCAATCTCAAAAGAAAAGAGAACATAAAAAAGAATAGATGATAAATGACTAAAGTTAGCCTTTAATAAAGTAATAGATGAGAAGAGTAGAATAACATTAAAGTTTAATAATGGCAAACCTAAACAAAGTTGAGGCCAAGCTCTTGTCAAACAAATAATGGAGGAACACATAACAAGGGAACATAAATGAAATTAATTCATTAGAATTCAAGGCTTATCGTCCACTTTCAATCCTACTTAATTTGAGCTAGCTTTCATTTCTTGCAAGGTAAAACTAGTATTTTTTTTCTTATAAACCGATTTATTATCGTAATTTAGAGTTAAATTAGGGTCTACTGAAATTTATGATTATAAAATGAAGGTAGTTTTCAACTTTTCACTAAGTTAATTTTCAAGAGCTTAATAATTATGAATGCAGTAGTAATTGCAGGTATAGTCTGGTGCGACACTAAGTGCAGAGTTCAAATCATCTCCCCTCAAAATTTAAAAATAATAATTATGAACGCAAAATCACTAAAAATTTCTGAGACTACATCTAATCTTGAGAAGCATTAGCGTTCCAAAGTGTGCACTAGTTCATCCTTTTTTTTTTTTTTTTTTTTTTTTTTTTTTTTTTCACCTTAAACGTTAAACATGAGAAAAGAGGGGATTACATGAAAAGGTGCTTTGTAATTAGGATTAGCACAGTGGGACATGATAACTTATTTATTACAAAATTAGAGGGATTAACTTACATTAGTACCAAAAATCTAAGAAAAGATACATGGCACCAAAGAAGAAAAACACATCTCTAGTATGGGACTCCTATGGAGTTATTAATTAAGCACAAGTAAGACCCAAGAACATGCATATGACATTAAATACAGGCTTGTTTAATCAGATTCTATTTAGCCCTGTCCTGGATCACATCCATTCCCATCTCAGTTGGGTCTGTGGCCTGGACTTCATAGTGGATCCCATCTAACACTCTCCTCAGCCCATCTTTTGATGTTGCATACAACATTTTTGCTCTAATCCTTGATGCTGTCGGAGCCCTGAAAATAAAAATTGACACATGTAAATAAAATTAACAACAAATCAATCTATCCGTGAGTTTTTTGTGTATTTTTATTTCAAACATAAAAAAAAAAAAAAAGTGACCCACATCATGAAATGCAATTTTGAAGTACTTGACTATCATGATTTTCAATCATCTCTTGACGATTTTATTGGTAACTTGGTGTATAGAATATAGTATAGTAGGAGTACAAGTGTACGGACCATGCAATGAAGAAGATTTTGCTCTTCCGGCAATTGTCAACGGTGACAAAGTCGAAATCAAACACGGCGTATCTGCAGTCGTCGTTTGGCAAAGACTTGGCCAGATCGTCGTAGCTCTCGCCGGAGCCGCCGACCTTATCGACCGTGACAAGTTTCGATTTTTCGTCGATCTTGAACACTATGTACCTATGCACCTTCTTCCATTTCATCTCCATGAACGAGTTCTTGCACTCATCTGTCACCCACATTCCGGTCGTCGCCTGTTGTTAGAATACACATCATTGTCAAATACAAGATTGGACAGAGAAGAATAACAAATATGGGAATTGAGAGAAATTAAAGAAGAGAGGAAGAAAAGTACCATCTTGAAAGCCATAGCCATGGTTGTTGTCTAGTTGTAGTTGATATTGAAGTTGAGAAGGAAAAAAAAGGTTAGAAGATTAGACTGATTTCTTGAGTATGTGGCAATTGGAGGTTTATAAAGATTGGCAGATGAAAATGCCACTATGGTTCATCTGTTTTTACAAGTTTGCCACACTAGATCTGTGCTGTATTATTGGTGTTGTTTTGTGTTCTGTTTCGATGACCAAGTTGCCCCCAATTTAGCACATTTTGTTTGTCTTTGGCTTGGTAGCACCTGGGATTTTGCTAGTTGTTTTCTTTTACAAAATGGGCTTGAATAAGAATTAAGATGTTCCTACTCTTCACCATGTTCTGCATACAATGAGCAAAAATACATATCCACAAAAAATGGCCCCACAACCAATGTACCAATCACCAGAGACTCAAAATTTTCAACCAGAAAAAAGATGTGTCCAATAAATCTGCAAAGAAGTAATAAAAAAATTAAAATGGTTCATTTTTTTTTGTGTGTCAAGGAAACTTAGCTGGAACATGATATGTTACCATTCTTCTTTAATTTGTTCAATTCCATAATCTCTCAATAAATCATCCCAACCAAATATGGAATAGTCTCTAAAGTTTACTTTTTAGTGAAGTATGAATGAACCTGAAACCAACTTTATCTCTCTGACAAGAATTATGCATACTATGGTCCAACACCTGGTAAGTTTACTTGCATTGTATGACACTTTACAAATTCTTAATTCTCTGTCATTTTCTGTCCTTGTACTTGAACCTATCTTCAGCATTGATAATTGGTTTATGCAATAACACAAATATAGTATATGCTTACAAAAGAGGAGTTTCCAGGGCCTTGCTGAATTCTGACCAGTCAAAGCATATAGCGGTGGTATTATAAGGTTTTATGACAAGAAAAACTTGCCCCAAGAGCATAGTAACATATAATTTAGAACAACATACAATAAATTTGTTGGGAAAAATAGAATCTTGGTAAGCGCGTTTAGAACTCATTTTAAAATAATTTTATTTTTTGTATGAAAATGAAAACGTTTTTAATCTCAGACATAAATTATTTTTAAAAATGCGTTTGGTAGTTTTATCAATAGATTATTTTTACTATAAAAAACTCATTAATGTCTCTCTTTCTTTTTCTCTGCTCGAGAGATGAGAAAACGAAAATAAAAAATGAAAAACGACTAAAAGCCGTTTTTCATTTCTCTCTCATTTTACACTAAACTAAAAAATCGTTTTCATTTTCATTTTTTGTCTTTATTGCGCCAAACACCGTTTTAGAAACGTTTTTATTTTTTCTTTCTCGAAAAACATGAAAAACAAAAACGGAATCAATTCCAAACACGATTGTTTTCTTATGCCCCGTTCACTTCACTTATTCGAGTTTAGAATTTGAGTTTGGCTACAGTAAAAAATTATCAAAAACAGTTACATCTAACTTTTTTGCTACAGTAAAAAACTCTCACATAAAATCACATCTCAATTCGAATTACAAACTCGAATAAGCGAAGTGAACGAACCCAAATTAGTAGATTGGTACTTCAGTATTTAGATAATATCAAATAGGTACCTTATACTCCAAAAAATGTCTTCTTAGAATAGATCTAAAGTCCTTTTTTGGGATAAGAAATATTCTTTTTTCGAGATAGAAATTTCCAACCTGAGACATGAAGTACCAATCTACTAATTTGATGGAATAAAAGTTTTTCTTTCTCATTTCTATCAGATGTTACTGGTTCCCCCTTTTCTTTTTTCCCCCCTCCTTGCAGCTTGTTTTTTACCATTGTTTATTTAAAGCTCATGGCTTATTTTCTTTGCAATAATTTGCATAACTTGCATTTTCTTCAGGAATAATAGTAGAGAGATAATGAGAGAAAACGACAGGAGGCAGAAAATATCCAAATCAATCTTTGATTAGATTGAGCTCAGTGGTACATACATGGAGCATATCATGGACCTAATGACAGATTAACCGTATTCACGTTTTCCTATAATTTGACCAATACAAAGTAGTATAATTACCACATGAAATATCGAAAACACAAGTACTTAAAACGGATAAAGGTGGTGGTCCTATCTCGGATCGCACACCCACATCTTCCTTTCTCCATCTGATCTTTCACTTTGTGTTCTTCAAAAAGTCTTTGCGTGAAAGCAAAGAAGAAAGGGGGATTTATCACCAGAAAAAAAAAAAGAAAAAGAAAAGGAGCCAAGAGGAAAAAGATAAAAAAAAAAAAAAAAAAAAAAAAAAAAAGGTGTCACTTGGTACAAATGAGTCAATGAATGTGCCGCCAATAAAAATTTCTTTTCAGGTTCCTGATTAAACCCACTTTGGCCTCTCTTCTGTTTGTTTTTTTCTTTTTTTTTTCCTTTCATAATTAATAATGCACAGCACAAGAAGCATAGTTTCTTTTCCTTACTCCTAAGCATTTCGAGTAGTTTTTCCACAACTTTGTCTTAATAAATCTGTGGCAGAAAGGAGCAGCATTCCGACATTCACCAAATATAAAAAACCAAAATGTGGTAGGAAATTGCTACCTAATACTAATATTGGAGATAGATCAGAGGTGAGTCATGAGAATGGAGATTAAAGTAGTACCAACAAGAACTAAGATCCAGGAAATCTGTAAGCAAAGGATGTGAATGGACTTACTTGTATGGGGAAACATGCCCCATCATGTGAAATATGACCCCTTCTCTAGACAAACAAGTCCATAGTCCCACACCACACGCATAACCTAGCTGGGTCGCTAAAGGTTGCCAATTTGTATTCTTATTTCGCTCGTCGAATTTTCTTCTTTAAAGATTATCTGAGTACACCAACTTTATCCTTTTAACATTTTTTTTCGTTATCGCAAAAAGAACTGACCACACAAATACGACTTAGTGTCAATAGAGATTATCACGGGAAAATAATGTGATGATATGTAGCCACGTGTTTAACATGTGAACATGTAATTTGTTAGCGAGAAGTAGTGGCATCAGTGATGCATTGGTACAATATTTACGCTATTCTTTGGGTTGCTAAGGTTGCAATCTTCTATTCTCTAATCACATATCAAGTCCCACCTTGTGGTCCAATTACCTTCTCCGGAAAGAAGCTGAGATCATCTAAGTACACCAATTTTATCCTTTTAATTATTTTGTTCAGTAAAAAAGTGAGTTGGACGGAACAACGTCGTTCACCTATTAATTTTTCAGAAAATTTAATGGTTTCATTTAGTGTAAAAAAAAATTCTCACGTGAATAGAGTGTGACAGTTTATCACGTGTTTGACATGTGAAGATGTGATTGATTAAGAACAAATGGTAATGCATTGTTACAATATCTAGCCCATGATTTAATTGTATGAATGAGTGATTTGCACAAACTTACTTTCGGGAGAGAAAGACCCATCAAATCCCGGCATTAGCTCAGCTCCTTTCCAATTGGAATTACCTTAATTGTGGCGAAGATTGATAGGTGTGAGAATGCATAGTTTCGTGCTGTGTAAAGCCATAATTGATAACACTACCCCAAAATGGTTAATTAATACTAGCCTTTTATAATCTGTTTTGTTGGCTCCCTGTTTCCTTTTCTTAGGTCCTGTTCTTTTCGCTGATTCGAATTTAGAATTCGAGTTTTACTACAGTAAAAAGCTCTCAGAAACAGTCACATCTAACTTTTTTGTTACAGTAAAAAACTCTCACACAACATCACATCTTAACTCGAATTAAAAACTCAAATTAACTAACCGAACGGGTCCTTAGTGGTTGAAGCTGGAGCGTTAGCTGTGTTTCACTTGCCACTCTCTTTGAGAAATTCCTTTTAAAAAAAATCTTAATTGTGAAGAGTGATATTATCTAGGTTACATTTTGAGGGGCCAGGGAGAAATTAATATTATGCTTTTTGATATAACCTGGAGGATAAGGATGCCAACATGGTGGTTGGATGTTGGCATCAAATTTTTTTCTTTTGTTTTGAGAAATTGATCCAAAAAGGTTATCAAGTGAACGCAAGCTTACACACACATACATAAATACATGCATCAGCTCGTAATTTAAAACTAAAGGGAAGACGTTAGATTAGACTAGAGCAAGAACTAGCAGTAGCAGCAGACGACAACAATAATAACAACAGTAATAGTAACAACGACAACAATAATAATAAAAGATAATTATGTCGAGAACGTTTGGTTGAAGGATTCAAACCATGTGATTTAAATTATTTTCGATTTACGTGAATTTTTTGTGAGAGAAAATACTGTAGCGAATCACGAATTATGATTCGAATCAGGGAACGAATCCCTCTACCAAACATCCTCGAAGTGTTCACTTTTCAATTTATGACTATTCAAAGGAACCATAGCATAGATTTTTTTATTTTTTATTTTTTTTTTGTTCCAATCCACTACATTTATAGGACTGTTACAATCAGCTTTTTTTCTTCTTTTTTTTTTCCCCTTTTGATTTGTTTCGCTTTTGAAATACAAAATTATTTGACTACGATGTTCTATTTGATTTTTTGTTATAGCATCCTTTTCGATCCAAATGGATAATATTGACCATTGACATGTGTCCATTAAAATGCAGCTTGAGAGGTCCTTTGATGTGGGGGCATTGGAGTGTATAAAGAGAGGAGAAAATAAGAAATATAATTTTGAGGAAAAGTTACGGATTTTCTAGAGTCTTAATTTCCTATGATGATTAGTGATCGCTCAAGGAGTACCCAGTTATTGAAAGTTTCAAAACCCTGTCTCTGACATTATTCTCATCCCTCGGGAACAATTCCGGTTACAACTCCTTGAGTACAAGACGGCACTGATCGGTCTGTAAATCGGAAAAGATGAGGTATAGATATTGTTTAATCAAGGATCGGGAAGGGCAACTCCTATTTTCCGTATGATCGCTAAAAGAACTAAAGGACGAGAAGTGGTGAACCTCTATTGGCCTTTAGTTCTTTAGCTGCTATACTTGACCGACGTCGGCTCCATACGGTAAGATTAATGTATGAATTGGTTACAAAACGCTGGACTTTTATTTGGTAGGCCCTTTATTCAATTCATTCGAAATGGCGGGCCGACTACTCTTTATTGTTACAACTCTTTATTTGGTAGGCCCTTTATTCCATTCTTTCGGAATGACGGGCCTCAAACGCTTTTTTTTTATAAGATCGGCCCTTATCTCACTCCTTCAGAATGGTGGGCCGTTCCTACGAGGAAGGTCGTCCCTTTATTCCATTCCTTCGGAATGGCGGTCTGAGGAAGAGGATAATGTTGTCCTTTACTTCATTCCTTCAGAATGACGAGACGAAAGGAAATATTAAGTCGTCCCTTTATTCCATTCCTTCGAAATGACGAGACGCGGTAAGGATAGTCCCGTTTTTCATTCATTCGGAATGACGGGACGCTAAGGGAGGGGACCCTTCCCCTCCCCCGAACCCCTTCCAAGTGCAACAAAACTGAAGCTTATTTATTCAAAGGAACCATAGCATAGATTTTTTTATTTTTTATTTTTTTTTTGTTCCAATCCACTACATTTATAGGACTGTTACAATCAGCTTTTTTTCTTCTTTTTTTTTTCCCCTTTTGATTTGTTTCGCTTTTGAAATACAAAATTATTTGACTACGATGTTCTATTTGATTTTTTGTTATAGCATCCTTTTCGATCCAAATGGATAATATTGACCATTGACATGTGTCCATTAAAATGCAGCTTGAGAGGTCCTTTGATGTGGGGGCATTGGAGTGTATAAAGAGAGGAGAAAATAAGAAATATAATTTTGAGGAAAAGTTACGGATTTTCTAGAGTCTTAATTTCCTATGATGATTAGTGATCGCTCAAGGAGTACCCAGTTATTGAAAGTTTCAAAACCCTGTCTCTGACATTATTCTCATCCCTCGGGAACAATTCCGGTTACAACTCCTTGAGTACAAGACGGCACTGATCGGTCTGTAAATCGGAAAAGATGAGGTATAGATATTGTTTAATCAAGGATCGGGAAGGGCAACTCCTATTTTCCGTATGATCGCTAAAAGAACTAAAGGACGAGAAGTGGTGAACCTCTATTGGCCTTTAGTTCTTTAGCTGCTATACTTGACCGACGTCGGCTCCATACGGTAAGATTAATGTATGAATTGGTTACAAAACGCTGGACTTTTATTTGGTAGGCCCTTTATTCAATTCATTCGAAATGGCGGGCCGACTACTCTTTATTGTTACAACTCTTTATTTGGTAGGCCCTTTATTCCATTCTTTCGGAATGACGGGCCTCAAACGCTTTTTTTTTTATAAGATCGGCCCTTATCTCACTCCTTCAGAATGGTGGGCCGTTCCTACGAGGAAGGTCGTCCCTTTATTCCATTCCTTCGGAATGGCGGTCTGAGGAAGAGGATAATGTTGTCCTTTACTTCATTCCTTCAGAATGACGAGACGAAAGGAAATATTAAGTCGTCCCTTTATTCCATTCCTTCGAAATGACGAGACGCGGTAAGGATAGTCCCGTTTTTCATTCATTCGGAATGACGGGACGCTAAGGGAGGGGACCCTTCCCCTCCCCCGAACCCCTTCCAAGTGCAACAAAACTGAAGCTTATTTTCTTTGCGCGCTTTTTTTTTTTTTTTTTTTTTTTTTTTTTTTCTCTTGTAATTGTATTGGTTGAAGGGATCCAGTTTCTTTCCTTTGTGGGAGTCTTAATGCAATTGTCTTAACGAAATATCCCACATCTTCATCAATAATAAAAGACTAAAAACATGAAATGTGAAACCGCGAATTGGACGGGCACATAAAGGAGCGAGGCAAAAGAAAAAACAGAAGTACCGCCAAATGCCGTCCTTTCTTCTTTCCACCAAGTAAGCAATCAGAGCCACAATTCATCTCATTTATACAATGTCTGGAATTGATCTTTGCCACTACAAGATTATGAAAATCAACGCAAATTTCATAGACAGGAAGGAAATCAGAACTTTTCATTCTCTTTGTCAGGTCTTGAATCATCCTAAGAGATAGATAAGCCTTCCAAGGGATAAAGAACTCATGACCAGTGAACCTGTTAATCTGCAAGACAAGACCGCAACGCTTTTAGAAAAACCAGTCAACGTTAAAACAACCAAGATATCATCAAAGTAAAGAGGCATAATTGGGTTGCAAATTTTGAAGCCTCTGCCTTACCTCAAGTATTAGAAGCATAATCTTAAACTTTCACTTGCTCTCATTCGGGGGCTCATCGTCCTTCTTTGGCTGGGATTATTAAACAAAACAAAAACATGACCATTAAATGCAAACTCCATCACGCAAACGGTTATTGCAGGCAAAGGTGGTAATAGATAATAGAACCACCATAAAAGACATGTTTTACAGCACCGACACACGCACACACACCCAACTCACTAGGAACGCACCTCAGATTGATTTTGTAAAGATGCGAGGAGATCTTTGACTGCAGGATCATTGGGATCAACTCCAGGAAGCTGCAAAATAAATAACAAACAGATCAGGAGAATCTCAGCATATGCTGCAGGCGACAAATGCTGAGTTCATTAGAAACACCACTTACAGTTGCAAGGATAGATGAGACAAAAGACTGATCCTCCAACACTTTGCTGGCATCTGATGGAGTACTTTCTTGCATGGACATTTGGAGAGCTTATTGTAGCAAGACAGTGTTATGTATCAGAGCCCACAGACATGTATAATCTTGACTGTCTCTATCAATGTTTCAAACTTGCATTTCATGCACCAATTAACAAACTGAATTCAATGGCATCAGAGAAGTTACCTAAGGCCAACTCCTGATCCTCACTAGTCGCATCTAACATCTCAGCATCTATTGCATGACCAGATCCAGAGATATTCATCGACATTCCAAGAGCCTGTGAAGCAGAGTGTTCCAATTACCAGATTACTACATTAGGTGGCCGAAGATATGCTAGCAGCAATACTTTCTATTCAGATGATAATAATTGACAAGAAGCAAAGTGCCAATGTATAAATCGACCGCAATGGAAGGTTAAAAACAAACACATATGACAAAAAAGAAGCCAAAGAAATAGAAACCATGTCATCAGTGGTCTTCTTATTCTCTTCAGAGGCGGAATCATTAACATGATCAGTCATAGTTGCATCCTCTGCTTTGGATGACGATTCCTCTCCTTTTTCTTGCCTAGCAGCTTCCTCAGCAGCCCTTTTCGCAGCAGCCTCTTGCCTTGCTCTTTCCTCTTCCATAGAAACTCTGAGGGCCAGAGCCAGCTCAGGATCTATATTGGGATCTACACCGAATTCAAAGCCAGAAGCACCACCAGATGCTGCAGCGGCTGCAGCCGCTGCTGCCCCCCGGGGCCGGCGGCGCCCCCAGCCGCTGCTGCAAAGCCACTCCCTCCATCCCCATCTCCAGTGAATACTGGTGTACTGCCAGAAGTAGTAAAGTTGAAATAATACTAGTGACAAATTATTCCAAGGTCCAACTGCTAGTTTGAAACTTCCAATAACAAAGTGAGGCACGATATAAAATGTCACACCTTATAAGCACATCTGAGAGAGCATTGGGACCAGGAGGAACATGGACCATATGACTGGTGTCATTATTATTAACAGCAGCAAGAAGGGCTTCCAACTTCTCTGGCTTCGCATCATCTTCTTCACCAAAATTTACAATATCAAGAGCAACACTATTCTTCTTTAGTTTCTTCCCAATCATCTCCAATACCTTCTTCTCATACTTAACAGGACTGAGCGCAAAGAAAGAACAAATAAGTTTAAATATTCCCAAAAACGAATAATCCAAGAAGCTACCATGACCTACCTTCCAGCAAAAACTATAATCCTTTGTTGCTGATTCTTGTTCTGGCGATGCTTAAGAGCCAGCTGAGCCACCTGAATCCCAGCAGCTATGTTCATCTCACCGCCCATTTCAAGACCTTTATTCAAGGGGAAATTAGAAAAACAGTACCAAAATAGTAATGGTGTTTAACAACTTTATCATGGAGGAACAAGAAGGGAATGATAAAAATCTAAAATAACAAAATCAAATTCAAACAGCGGTTTAAACATTTCTCTTTTTGGTTCATACTTTTACTACCGCCATTTCCATTCAGATTAGTCCATTCCAAGTTCTCCATTCTAAACTCTTATCTGTGATCAATCAATCCCAAATTGACCATTACTCGCTCAAAGAAAAATATGAACCAAGCATTCATGAAAAAAAAGCACATAAATTCAGATTAAAAAAAAAAAACCTCAATGAATAAAGATAAAAACTTACGCCAAATAAAAGAATACAAAAAAAAACAGAGAGAGAGATAAGTGAAATACCATGCATACAACCCAAAATCTTGCCGAGATCAGTAGTTGGAGTGGCCAATACGCGAACCCCTTTTCCCGCCATTGTCAAAATTCCAACAGTATTCTCCGGATTTGACTACCAATTCCACCAAAAAAAAAAGTCCTCTAAGTAAAAAAAGAAAAAGAAAAATAATCATATGTAAGATTAAGTCAAAATCACAATATAAAACCTGGGTTTTGGCGCCGCAGATGAGACTAACAGCGTCGGATTGAGCTTGAAATCGAGAGGGAGAGTAATCACCGTTTCGCATCCAGTCTGAATTGTCGATGCATATCATAGTCGCCTGATAAAATCATCGGCAAAAAACAAAACCCTAATTATTACACATCCCAAAAATTTGAAAATGATAGGAACCCAAAAAACAAAAGAAAGTTTAGTGATGGGTTTTCTTTCATAGAGCGACCTCGAGAACCATGGTTGCTTGGAGAATGGAGAATCGGGAACACAGGCGCAGCAGAGTTAAAAGAGCAATTTCGCAATTTCTTCTCTTTTATTTAAGTGGTGCTTTTAAATATTATTATTATTTTTCTCCTAACCCCCGTCGTTTCCATTTTTGTAAAACGCACCCACTGTTTTATTGTATTTTTATTTTTATTTTTCTACAATTGTTCAAGTTGAAACTTGAAGCGTATTAGTAGTTAGCACCTTGGGAGTAAAATTAAAATTTTTGGTATTCATTAAAAGAAAAAAAAAGTTCTAAAATTTTTCCATGATTCATTTTCTCTGCGAGACATAATTAATTTTTTCATGAAAAGAAACAAAAAAAAAAGTTCAAAAAAAAAAATCACTTAATTAAACTACGTAATACACTTACACTCCTTTGTTTTTCATCTAAGTTCCAATTAAAGGAATTAATTCTGCCATTTCATTACTTTTTCCGACCTTTTCTTTGTACTTCTTGTTTACTAATGTAAGAACCTTGTCGTTCGTCCTCACGGAGTAGTTTTCCAAGTTATTTTTTGATGTCGTTTTCGTTATTGTTCTATTTCTAGCTATTCTTACCTGTACGACCTTTTAATATTTTTGTTGGGGTCGTTTCTTAGATTTTGATATTTTAAGAGATGGAAAAAGAGACAAATACCCAAGAATGCATGAGTTTTAGATTTATATATTTGATTAATACTTTTTAGTTAAAGAACGATATTAGTCAAAAGATATTAATAAAAAATAAATGATAAAAATCTTAAAACAATGCATTCAAATTAAGTTCACTAATTTTCTCTTTTAGAGAGACCTTCTTTTTCTAATTTATGTCTATCCTTTTTTATAAAAAATTTTAGGGCAGAAATATTCGCCTGTTAGAAATAGAATTTCGTTACAAGAAGGAAATCAAGAAATTCAGTACAGCTTATCCAGAGTACAAATTTCAAACTCTTAGAAGTAAAATATGACTCGGACTAAGAAGAAGAAAAGGACTCGTACATAGATGAACCATTTTTTGTGTATATATTGTTCCTCCCCATACGTAAAGAAGCACTAAAAACTGTTAGACATCTAAAGATGATAGATTTTCTTTTGCTGGTCGTAGCTAACTAGGTTTAAGCGTTGTGTTGTGTTTTGTGTCCAATATGGATTCCACTTCTAGTGTTCCATGGAATCTATTTCCAGGTTTAATAGTTTGGCGTAGAGTCAGATTTCTTGGTAGTGGTTCATATGGTGCAGTGTATTTAACTTTTTTGACAAATTTTAATGAGTTGAATCACCTACTTGCTGTGAAAACAAGCTTTCTAGCATTATCCACTTCTCTCTTTAAGGAGAAGAGAGTCCTTGCCAATCTTGGGGACTGTCCCGAAATCATTGTTTGCTTTGGCCACAAGGTAACGGTCGAAAGAGGAATGCAATTATACAATCTAGTTCTTGAATATGCACCTTTTGGCACACTTTCGGACTTGATCCAAACATTCATATTACGGGATATAAACATCAGAATCTACACTACGATTATACTGAAAGGCCTTCGATACATGCACGCAAAAGGTTACGTCCACTGCGATTTAAAGCCCGATAACATTCTTGTCTTTCCTTCTGATCAACGTGGGTGTTATCGAGTTAAGATAGCGGATTTCGGGTTGACTAAGGAGCCTGATGAAGTAATAATTCCAGATGACTACAAGAACAGGTTTCGAGGAACCCCGTGTTACATGTCACCGGAATCGGTGGTGCTCGGACAGATTGGGCCTGCGCTGGATATATGGTCTTTGGGTTGTATTGTGATAGAGATGCATACTGCAAAAAGTGCGTGGCATGTCTTGGAGTGTACTCCAAGACTTGATATGGTTCATCTGTTGGCTTCTACAAAGATGACCCCGCCGATACCTTGCGCCGTGACGGAAATTGGGAGGGATTTCTTGAGAAAGTGCTTGGCGAGAGATCCCCGCGAACGATGGACGGCACGGATGTTGTTGAATCATCCGTATGTGAGTGAAGTTTGAGCACTGTGTGAAACTGATCCAAGTTGAAGTTGAATTGTTATTATGGTGTGATTCATGTTAGGGTTTATTCAAGTATTATGTGAACGTTAGAATAATGTTCTTTTGTGTTTCTAAGGATTAGTTTGTTTTGTATTCAAATCCTATAAATTATTCAAGACTTGATTTTCCTCATGCGATGTTATAATTTTGATTTATAATTAAGTTGGATGGATTCGGATGATGCAATTTATTTATTTATTTATTTATTTTGCGTTTACATTGAACTTCATAAAGGAGAGAAATATAAATTAAGAAGGTGTTATTACTAAAATAATGTTCTAGAACTTCTTATTTGCAAAAATAACAATTGAACAACTAAGAACAATCACTTTTCACAAAATAAAATAAAATAAAATAAAATGTTCCTTATAAAATCAAAAAGGGTTATCGATTCTATTAGTCTTTAAACTTTAAGTATAATGATAATTTCATTCTTAAACTTTTAGTTTTAACATATTAATTGTTAAACTTTTGATTTCTGACAATCTCTTACGCTAAAAATTAATGAATGAAATTAAAAAAAAAGTAGAAATCAAAATATCACCATACTCAAAGTTCAGAGACTAACAATACTTATTAGCCAATAGAAAAATCATTTTATTTATTTCACTTCATAGGATAGTTCATCAAATAAATTTTAAAGGTAAAATGTCAAGCAATATGAATAACATCTATTTTCCAAAAAAAAAAAAAAAAGACTAACATTTGTGTACAATAGTAAAGGTAATGAAGAGCCCTTTTTAGTCTTTTTCCAATTTTTTTGTTGTTTTCCCACCAACTATAAATTTGGTTTTTTATAAGGGAAAAGAGCGGGATCAAGTCTCGCAACATGCTATCTCTCCCTGCAATTCTCTTCTCAAGCTTCTCATCTGTAGAAATTTTCATTCTCTCTCTTTTCATTTGGTTGGAATCTTGAGTTTCTTCCTTTTTTATTCTCCTTGTCCATTTCCTTTCTTGATTTTTTTTTTCTTGTCTCGTCATAACAAATATTAGAGAAGCTGATTTCTCATAGTCCACGGTTTCTCTTCTCAAGCTTCTCCTCTGTAGAGAAGTTGTGTATATAAACTTTTCAAATTTCTAAAACCTCCTTTATATATATGCATCTTCTGAAATAACTATATATTTACAGATTTCCAATGTAATTTGTGAATTGCATCAAAATAAACTTTAAACTTGTTACAAACTTGACCATATATATATATTTAAATAAAATGTCATATTTAAATTTTGAAAACAACAACAAAATAAGATTTTTTTTCTTAGTTTTTATAATCGTAAAATGCGGAATTTTTTCTTTTTTGTTTTTCCCTTGAAAAGTTATGGAAATTTGTAAAAAAAAAGAATACGCCATGTAAACTTAATTCTGATGTAAATTTGTAAGTTAAAATGAAGACTCTGCAGGTTGAGCTCTAAGAGTCAGCTTAGTCAAAATGAATACTTTAATTTCTACCATGATAAAGCTCAAACCATTTTCAACTTTATCCCCGTATTGGCTACTCTCCACTTTGTATTCGTGCAGCTGTGGAACTTACCTTAGCGTGATGGAAATGTCACATGTTAGGACTTTAGTTGGCAATTTGTTGGCATTGATTGTAAAAATTCAAAAACATGTACATTTGGCAACTTGTATTTATGAAAAAAATTAAAGACGATTTTGGTTGCTTGATTGCTTCGAATATGGAATGTTTTTCTTGATGAAAATCATGGAAAGTACTGCCTGATTCTGTATTTAAAATGGTTGACAAATCCGAATTAAAGAAGGAAGAAAGCTAATCACGTGGAGTATCAAGCTTGATTTATTGCTTGGTGATAATATATATATATATATATATATATATAGATTCCTTGTACGTGGAGTGATTTTTGGCTTGATTGATGAATGATTTAGAAGGTGATGTACATGAAGCAAATATGGAGCTGATTGGTTTGATTTTTGGTGGCTAATTGATGGGCTCTATGTATGAGAAGAATCCTTAGAGGAGAAGTTGCTTTATTGAGGGTGATTTTGGTGGAAGAATAGAGACTATAGACCAATTTAGAGTGTATATATTTGGTTTGCAGCCATGAACGTGGTAGAGCTTTTTGAATGATATATTATGCAGCAAAAAGCTGCTCTAATGTTCATTGAGTGAAAAAAAATAAAAAGTGGTTCTTTGGGAGAAGAACGTATGGCTTTTGGGAGAAAGTTTTCAAAGTTGAGTGGTACTCGCTGGACAAGGCCAGTAAAAAGATTCTCCACAGCAGCGACAACATCAAGAAGGGAGGCTTTGAGTGTGTAAGACCGATTGGTGTTTGTAATCTCTTTATCTTAGTAGGTTGTTTACTGTCTGGGCGTGACTCCACAGAGTAGGTGTGCGCACCGAACTACAATATCATTTTCTGGTGTCTTTTATGTTTTCACATTACTTTTCTGCACTTATAATTTGCTGCTGCTGAATAAAAAAAAAATGTATCCATTTACACGTATCTGTCATCAGTGTTACAACTAGTGTTATAGTACTCTTTGTGACACCAATCGAAAAACGGACCTAACATCACAGATACAGGCTTGCGTTGCTTGCAATCAAGGCTCAGATTACTGAGGATCCTCTTGGGATCACAAGCTCATGGAATGACTCTCCATTTCTGCCTGTGGCAAGGCGTTTCCTGTGGTCACAAGCAGCAAAGAGTCACCAACTTGGATTTATGGCTGTGGAGTTTGAAAGATTCCATATCTCACTCCGTTGGGAACCTCAGTTTTCTTCGAATACTCGATGTCTCGAACAATAGTTTCCAACGATCGAACTGTGTTCTTCAAGTGTGTAATCCTGATTTTTCACATATTGCTCATCCGAGGACATATATAGGCTCTTAATTGCCGAACCTCGTCACATTGCTTGTCTCGTGTGTGCGTGTTTGTTCTCTTGTACATTTAGATTTAATTACATGAAGCAATTTGGTGGCGGAGAGTAGCTCTTTATCCTTGCAAAGCTAGTCCTTAACCGTAGCTATACCATCTTGACATAAAGAATATTTCTGGACAAGGTGGGATCAGTCATTGGAAAATGATTCCCCAATCTATCAGTACCAGATACCTTACAATACCGCCTAGCTAACCAAACAAAGTAATATCTAAATAGCAGATTTATGAATTTCCGCGTAAATTGTTTTTTACTACTGTTAAAAAGATTTTTTTTTTTCATGTAAATAAATATTTTTTATCACGTAAATTATTTTTTACTAATCGTAAATAATACACTTACACAATAAATTGTTATTTATTTCAAATAATTTTAAAATTTACTATTTACTTCATTTAGTTTTAAAAATATGTTATTTAATACAATTTCTGTTGTTTTTTAAATAAGGGTTTTGAATTTCAAAACTAGAGTTTATTTCCTATTTTATTGTTTCCCTTTGATAATGTTATTTCCAAATTTTTAGAACAGAATTAGATCCTTTATTTTGAATTACAATTTTAGATAGGACAAGTTTCTTTTAATTTCAATTTCCAAAGTAATTTTATTTTCAGTTTAGTTTGATTAATTAAAAAACCGAAAAAACCGAGAATTTTTCGGTGTTCCGCTGCATTGGAGTAATGTTTTTCCCAGGCCTACTTCGTTGGATATCCAGTGAGACACGTCGGAAATGGTCTAGATGGCATTGATTTGATATCTGAGGTGATAAATATATAATAACAATGGTTTATATATATTGTTTTCTTGGGATAAATTCAGGCTATAGAATTGTCAATTGTTTGTCTTCACATGTTCGTAGTCAATTGGTATTGTGCTGTGAACTACGGAAATCAAACTATGGTTTTTAGATTATGTGAGTGTTGGTATACAGATCATGGTTTATGGATTACGTGAATAATATATATATATATATATATATTTCTATTTTTCTTGCTCCAGGAAGAGTTTGATTTCATTTGCAACGGATGTTATTGTAATTGGAATTTGGTTATTCACCATGTATGAGATCTCCTCTAAGCATGGCTGAATGGTTAAAACGCCCAATTCATAATTGGTGAATCGGTGAATTTGTAGGTTTCGAATTTCATTCCAATCACAAATAATCTGTAACTGCCAATATATCTCACGGTAATAAAAATATAGTGTTTTGAGGTATATCAAGATTCAGTCTACGGTTCATATTTCATCGACCAATTCTTCTTAATTCACATCTTTGTTGAAAGAATTTTTTTTGTAATTCTTTACATAAGGATTTAGAAAATACCATATCGCCGCCTACACAAGTAAATTGTTTATAAAACTTCAAAATGACATTTTCTTTTAATTTTTTTTTTTTTTTGCTTATTTTTGAGGAAAGATAAGAAAATTTTAGTGAAGCAAACATTCTCTAAAATTTCTCTTAGATTTAAGCCCATAGCTGATAATAGAACTATAATAGATATTTTATATTTCCTACCAACCAATCCAAAAATACCCAAAAAAAAAAAAAAAAAAAAAAAAAAAAAAAAAAAAACAAACTTCCTGTGTAGCTGTGGCCCTCGTAGATATTTACAATTTTAGATAGGACAATTTGTATCTGTGTAGCTGTGGCCCTTGTGAAGTGACGTTGAGGAAAAACTTCCTGGTTGAACTACAGCACAAGTATTATTTCAGTCAATGTTGAGTGGAAGACCCGCTAGCAGTACACTTTCGGAAGACTTGCTTAGTGGCCTTCAATTTGGTTCTCTTCATCTACATATCATACTGCTTTTGTAGTCCTGTGTGCAGAAACTCTTTGTAGACGTCAAAAAAACCTGCGAAAATGAGGGCAGTATTAATCCAAACATCGTCTTTTCTTTCTCTTTTGAACTTTTGCATTAAGATCCTGACTTTAGCCATCATCGCGATTGTTGGGGTTACCACTGCCTCGATTGTTCATGGAAATATCACAGACAGGCTCGCGTTGCTCGCAATCAAGGCTCAAATTACCGAAGATCCTCTTGGGATCACAAGCTCATGGAACGATTCTCTCCATTTCTGCCAGTGGCATGGTGTTTCATGTGGTCACAAGCACCAAAGAGTCACCCAAGTGAATTTACGGTCGCTTAGTTTGAAAGGTTCCATATCTCTCTCCGTTGGGAACCTCAGTTTTCTTCGAACACTCGATGTCTCAAACAATAGTTTCCATGGAGAACTACCAAATGAGATTGGTCGCTTGCTGAGGTTGCAACAGCTGGTTTTGGCAAACAATTCCTTCGGAGGACGAATACCAACTAGTTTATCAAACTGCTCTAAGTTGATAAGCATCGATTTTGGATACAACGCGTTCACCGGTAACATCCCTTCTGAGATTGGCTTTCTCCCAACGCTGGAGCAACTAATTCTCGTGAGAAACAGTTTGGAAGGAAGTATTCCACCTCATCTAGGGAATATCTCATCCCTCAAAGAACTTATTGTGTCAGCAAATAAGTTGAAGGGAAACGTTCCAGCATCACTAGGCCAATTGAAGAGCTTGATTTCTTTTCGCGTGTCTCTCAATATGTTATCAGGTACAATCCCTGAAGCTGTCTTTAACTTGTCGAGCCTTGTTGCTTTTTCTGTTTGTGGGAATCAGCTTCAAGGTAGCTTTCCTCGTAACATTGGGCTTACCCTTCCAAATATCGAAACATTTTTTGCATGGGGAAACCAATTTAGTGGAACCATTCCAGTCTCTTTTTCAAATGCTTCAAACCTTGTTTACTTTGAAATTGAGGAGAATAACTTCTTTGGACGGATTCCTACTATTTTTGGAAACTTAAAGAAACTTGAGCGGGTAGTTATTGGGGCTTCTAATCTTGGGTATGGGAAAGAAAATGATATGGACTTCTTCACCTCTTTAACCAATTGTAGCAATCTGCTAACACTTCAGATTCAACAAAATAACTTCGGAGGAAATTTTCCCAATTCTGTAGGAAACCTTACAGATAAACTTGAAGTTCTGTGCCTTGCAAATAGTCGAATTTTAGGAAACATTTCACCCAGCATCGGAAATCTTATGAACTTAAAAGCACTGTATTTAGGTCACAATCGGCTCACTGGGACCATTCCTACAACTATTGGTAAACTTCGCAATTTGGGATCACTATATTTGGCCGGTAATGAATTATCTGGGGAAATCCCTTCCTCCCTTGGAAATCTCACGTTATTAAATACGCTTCAACTAGAAGATAACAATCTACAGGGAAACATTCCTTCGAGTCTTGAAAACTGCAAAAACTTGCAATTACTACACCTCCATGGTAATTCCCTGAATGGCACCATTCCTCCAAATGTAATTGGGTTGTCCTCTTTATCATTGTCTTTAACACTCTCTAGAAATCGTCTCACTGGATCTTTACCATCCGAAGTTGGTAACTTGAAAAATCTTGCTGAGTTGGGAGTTTCTCACAATCAGTTGACCGGTGATATTCCTAGTACACTTGCTGAGTGCACAAGCTTAAGATGGCTTTCTATGGATCACAATATGTTTGAAGGAACCATTGAATCTCTGAGTTCCTTAAAAGCTATTGAAGAATTGGATCTTTCACACAATAACATTTCTGGGCATATACCAGAAGACTTTGGCAAATTTGTCTTTTTATCAAAGTTAGATCTATCTTTTAATGATCTTGAGGGTGAAGTACCAAGTGGAGGTGTTTTTAGTAATGCCAGTGCTAATATTTCACTTGCTGGTAATGATAAGCTTTGTGGGGGCATAGCTAATTTACACTTGGCACAATGCTCTAAGAAATCTCCAAGGAAGCAAAACTTGTCCTCCACCCGAAAGCTGATAATCTCCATTGTCTGTAGCCTTCTTGGAGTATGTTTGATGTCAGTTTTTCTGATCATTTGTTGCTTTAGGAAGAAAAGAAAGCAGCAATCTTTAGAATCTTTGTCGGGGAATGTTCCATTCTTGAATATTTCTTATGCGGAGCTTTTGAAAGCAACTAATGGGTTTTGTCCAGAAAACCTGATTGGTTTCGGTGGCTTTGGCTCGGTATATAAAGGGATTCTTGAACCACATCAATTGCCCATAGCAGCGAAGGTCTTTGACCTTGAAAGGAGAGGAGCTTCCAAGAGTTTTATGGCAGAATGTGAAACTCTAAGGAATGTCAGGCATCGTAATCTTGTGAAAATCATTACTTCTTGCTCAAGTGTCGACTTCCAAGGTAATGATTTCAAAGCCCTCATCTATGAATTGATGCCAAATGGAAGCTTAGAAGATTGGTTGCATCCACCTCTACAAATGGGGGAAAACCAGAGGAAAAGTTTACCTTTGACTCAACGGTTGAACATAGTCATTGATGTGGCATCGGCATTGGATTATCTTCATAACCACAGTGGACAGCCGATTATACATTGTGACCTAAAGCCAAGCAACGTTCTACTTGATCAAGACATGACTGCCCACGTGGGTGACTTTGGGTTGTCAAGGATTATTGCAGAAAACAATGTTCAGATATCCCAAAATCAAACAAGCTCTGTTGGAATAAGGGGAACAATTGGATATGCAGCTCCAGGTAATTTTATTTTCTAATTATCTTTACTAAAGCATAAATGATTGTGGTTTCCCTGACACTTTTTTTTTGTTATCTTTTTTAACGCGTGTTTATGTACGTAACATATGTAGTACATGCACATGCATGCATCGATATATACACACACACTAACTCCAATATTTTTATTCAACTTGTGAGATATTGAAGAATATGGCATGGGAACCAAAGTGTCAATCCAAGGAGATGTGTATAGCTTTGGAATTCTTTTGTTGGAAATCTTCACAGGAAAAAAACCCACAAATGAAAATCTTGAAGGCCTTAGTCTTCATCAATTTGTCAAAATAACATTGCCAGAAAGAGCGATGGAGATAGTTTATCAAAGTCTCCCGAAAGAAGGACAAGCGGAAGCATCTCGCAGAGACATAATGGTGCAACCAAGAAGCGGCAGAGTATATGAATGCTTAATGTCTATATTGACGACTGGTTTGAAGTGTTCAGAGGAATTACCAGGAAACAGGATGAAGATTAATTATGCCCTCAAGGACTTGCAAAAAATAAAAAACATGCTTCTCAAAGATACTAGGTACAAGGATCTATAGAATAGCTTATCTTCCCTTGGAAAATGCACTAAATCTTACATTCCCCCTTTTTTTTTATTCTCATATTTCTTTACAAAAAAGAGAGAAAAACAATTACCTCATAGTTTCCTAATTTCATTTTGCAGGAACAACAGTGGAGCCCGAATTTTAAATGTTGAAGAGGGTTGTTAAATGTCCTGCAAACACTTGTGTTACGCATAAATTAGCTAGCAGTAATGTTTAGAAGTCCAATTGTGTGTTGAGTAGTTTCTGTTTTAGCCTTGGTTTTGTTTTCCACAAGACTTATGTTCGTGCTCAACTATTAAAATAGTATGACTAGCGCGCTTATATTTTCAGGCGTGATGCCTGTTTCTTGCAGTTGAACTTGAAATGATGAATCGATGTAAACTTTATTGTCGTACATTCATTTATTGCTGTTTTGTTATTGTTGTCATTTACTTCCAATTTTGTCGTTTTCAATTTTCTGTCGTTTATTCAATTTATTGTCCTTTTGTGAGTTTTTGTCATTCATTTATTTGCCGTTTCCATTTTTATTCTTCTTGTCGTTTTTATTACTAATTTTTTTTCGTTCTTATTTTCTCGTCGTTCGCACTTTTTTTGCCGTTTTCAGGTTGCCGTCGTTTACTGAAATTCTTATATTCACGGTGTCGCTTTTACGTTGTTCTCTTGCTGTGCTTTTAACAATTTTGTTGTTTATGCGTAGCACTTTGTCTGTACCTGTACAGAGGGCGCTTAATACATAGTTACATACACAATTGTAAGACTAAAAATTCTGGTAGGGAGGACAGGAGAAAGGATAAGCCGCCTATTAATTAATCCTGAAAACAATTACTCCGATAACTCATCTTACCTTCTCTCTGACGAGAAATTTCATGACAATTTATCTTCTGCAGGACAGATAAGAAATCAAACTAAAAAATGCTCAAACTGGCACAAATAATTTCTATCTTTATTGATAAAACCTCAAACTTTACATGGGCAAACTCGCTGACTTATGCACAATCCGTCAATAAACAATACTGAGTTTCATACAGGGAACAAACACAGGCCAACAACAACAACGACAAATAATTGCAGAGTTCAACCACTGTTTATCATACACCGGTGATTGGAGATGATCCATGGTTTCTGCTAATTGGCAGGTAAACGTAAACCTCGTGAACTTCCTGTTTATAGACCTCTCCCCTGTCTCTATCTATGGCATAGCACACGTACACGGTGTCAACCACATTGTCCAGCACATGCACAAAGTACCATAACACCAAGATCAGCAGCAACCACGCCAGTGCAGCCACGAAGTATGAATCAGACCCGACATCGCTTACACCCTTTAAGATTGCCCAAGTCTGCTTATGCATGTCATGATCATAAAACATTAACAAACATTCGAACTATAAGGAAGAAAACAAAGAGTAGAACAAAAAATTATTTAACAGTTTCACAATTCAGCAACTAGGACATGACAAGGTGAAGCGGAGGTCATATATCAAAATTGTACAAACCTATATGGTGAAATATACATTTACTTGGACAATGACTCTAACCAACCCCAACCTATTGCATGCTTCTCCATCCTGTAGTCACCCTTCCTTAAAAGGTTTTAATTAGGATTATTATCACTAATACTCCCTGCACTTTAGGGCCATTCTCAATTTGCCCCCTAAACTTTGAATTGTTTCCACTTAACCCCTTCTGTTGCAATTTCTGTTAAAAAGATATAGGAAAAAAGAGAATAACGTAATCAAGTGGTCTTTTTGATTAGATTTTTGTCCCAAAAAATATATATATATATATATATATATATATATATAAACCACATGAACACACTTAACCCCATATTTTTCCGTATGATTTTAACAGAAATTACAACAAAAGGGATTAAGTGAGAACAATTCAAAGTTCAGAGGGGAAAATAAGAGTTTTTAAAGTTGAAGGGGTAAACTGAGAATGACTCTAAAATTTAGAGGGCACCAGTGAGAATAATCCTTTTAATTAAGAAATTGACCAAATCTTTAGGTCTATGTGCCTTGTTCGGTAAGTGGTAAAAGTTGGAGGAGGGATAGGAGTGAAAGGATTAGTGAATAAATTTTTACACTTACGGTTGTGTGGTAGAAGGGATTAGAGTGGGGGATTCAAGATCCTCCCTTGGAGTCCAATTTTGATCCTTCTAAAGTTTGAAGGGTTGGAGGGATTCATAATTGACGCAATAAGAGAAAGATACTCCCCTTCCTCTTTGATTTTTCCTCACCTAGATTATATAGCTTTCCTTCCTCCCATTTTCTTTCCCTCTGCCGAACACGGCCTTAGACTCAAAGACAAAAAAGTACTACCACGCACTTAATCTTTTCTTTGCTAGCGTACAAATAGGGGAAAGCAGATTTGAAAGGTCAGAACACTGACTACATGGACGAATATTTCTGAATCATGAATTACTCTCCGTCATACCTAATCATCACCATCTTAGAACATCAATTGACAAGCATAAAACAAGAAAAAATTTGTTATACGCACCGCAATTGCATATATTGCTGAAACTACGAAGGCAATGCCAGCCAGCAGACGAGTGGAGATGGTTTCCACGAAAACAGCAGAAAGGAGATTCCGTTTTAGAAGCTCAAATGTCATCCGTGCAGATAAGCAATAAGCTTCTCCAGTTATTGCAGCAAAGTTGATTGTGAACTTGTTAAGAAAGTCAATAGCTGACAGTAAGGCATTAACACAGCAACGTAGTGCAAGGCTCACAAAGCCGGAAATGTCCCCTTGTCTTGCGGTATCAACAATGGAACGCACCACTCGAACAACAAAGATAAGTAAGCCCGAAAGACATATAGTGCCGGAGGAGGGGCCAAAGGCATGTCTGCAAATTTTAGTAAGAAAACCACGAGAAATTGTGATTACTATCGACATTATATCCAACCATATTCTTTTAACCAGAAAAACCTTTACCCGTAAATATTTACACTTGCAATGTCAACCTCAACAACCTTCCTCTAACTAATAAAAACCATGTATGAACTTATCATGTCATAGGTTCCCAAAAATGTATTGTTGATCGTGTGGAAACTAATTATTCCCCAGAAGCAGAGTTTAATTACCAAATTAAACTAAAGGGTAATTAGACTTTTCATTCACGTACTTTCGCTTGCCCTAATAATAATTATATTGGGGATTATGGTTAGAGAGGTGTGTAAATTTCTTGTGTAGTCGTTTTCATCATAGTGAAATTCTGAGACCGTTGAAAGTAGATGCAGCCCTCAATTAAGGCGAACCACTATAAATCTTCTGTGTGTTGTTATTTTATTGTTTTTCTTCGATTTTATTACTCTCGATAGTAAAGGATTAGTGCCTCTAACTGTTAACCAAAAAAAGAAAAAACATAAAAACACATAGTTTGCTCACTTATCACAAAATTATCAGCTTCATCAAAATATTGCGACTCATAATGTCAACTTCAACTACCTCCTACACATGAAACTTGTACAAACATCAACAAACAAAGAAGTAGAATGAACTGTAATAGCAATGGTAAAAATAAAACGAAAATTCACCTCAAAGAGCTTCTGGTACTCCGCCGAGGAGCCGAATCCTCCTTCGTGAAGTACCACTGCGCAATAGTCCCACTGATCACAAACACCTGCGCTTCCACCATTGCAGCCGCCGACCAAAGCATGGTTAGAATCGCCAGCGCATAGTAAGCCGGCACCCAACCATCTTCTTTCCAGTCACAACTGTACTCCCCGCTCGATTCCCGCGCCACAATCTTCCCGTTCGACCTCGCAAACACCAAGAACACCACGATCGGCGCGTAATAAACGATCAAGCACAGACTCAAAAAGGGCAAAACGAAGAACAATCCCAAGTTCTTCAAAAGCGCGTTCGAGGCCACCCCAATTATGCTCACGGTGAGCTCAATCCGATGCCAATTGGCCACGAAGATCCAAACAATAACCCCATTTACCAAGAACACAAAAATCAAAACCAAAATTCGGTAGACCAACGGGAAGGCGTCGCTGCAAGAGGAGCTGAGCGTGCAGGCGACGAACCAGTAGACGTTGAAGAAGATGGGGATGAGGATGAAGAAAGGAAGAGAAGCGTAGACGATGTGTTTGGTGTAACGCTTGAGAGCCAAGAGGAAGAGTAAGCAAATGGGTAAGCTGAGAACGAGCGTAATTACGAGCGTCCATATCAGATCCTTGAGAACGGGGGAAGAAGAAGAGAAGAAGAAGAAAACCCAATTGGAAGAAGAGGAAAGTTGGTTTTTGTGTTCGACGCAAGAAGTGGAATTGGAGTCATAAACGAAGGAAGAGAGGTTGGAGTAGTTTGCGTTGCGGTGGAAGACGGCGAAGATGCCGAAGCCGAAGGTGGAGAGGACGAAGACGAGGAAAAGGATGAGGAAAGGGAGGTCCTTGAAGGGTCTGGGGCCGTAATTGTAGGAGATCTGGAGGTACTGGGAAGCGTCGGATTCGCGGCGGCGGTCGTAGTACGACGGCGGCGGCGGCAGCGGCGGAGGAGGAGAGTCGTCGAGATGAGGTGGCTTGGAGAGGAGGGGTTGTTGGGACGGCGACGACGTGCCGTATAGGGATATGGGTTTGTCGTTTTCGTCGGAGCTGCTCCCCATTGGAGCTCAGATGGATAGATAAAGAAAGAGATCGTTTTGGGTTAGAACAGGAAGAGGAACATTTTCTAGTTGACGATGAGCATAAAAGCTGAGTAGTATTTGTTTTTGTTGAAAATTAATTGGAACACTTGGTCGGTCATATGTTGTTCTTTTTTTAAGCAAAGTATTTTTTTTATTTAATAATATGTGGGAGTCCTGGCCATTCATTCATCATGGGTTGTAATCAGATGTGGTATCTCGTTAATTTTATGAATTTAAATTTTTAATTTGAGTTAAAATATGATATTTTTTAAAAAAATTTTACTGTAATAAAAAAAATTAAATGTGATATTTTTTAAAAATTTTTTATTGTAAAAACTTAAAATTAAAAATACGAATCGGTAAAATGAACGAGGTCATAGAATATAAACAATGGATCAAGGTGGATCCAGGTCACAAGACACAAACTTTGTTTACTTTTGTGCTTTTAGTGGTAATTCATTTTTTCTGTACTACAGAAACTCTCAAAAGTATATTCGATAAAGTTGAGAAATTACTCCTTTTATTTTGATTTTGGGGGGGCGAAGGTGAATAACATAAAAGATTATTCAATGATTGATTTAGAAAATGAAAGGATGACATAAAATTGAATGAATTCTTTTTAACAAGCTACCCTCATTAATAGTCTTATTTAGAAAATTAAGGGATGATATGATTCTTTATAAGTTATAATAATTCATGTAGTCTCATAATTAATACACAATACAATGTCAATGTGTGGTACATGCCACATGGAATAAACAGCATCATCCATTTTTCTCCGTGGAATCATATGGAAGCATATTTATATTAACATGCTTTGACTCATCATAAATAACACAAGCTTATTTCACCTTTTATTTGTTTCCCCCTTATTTTCTTTCTTCATCATCAACCGTAGGATCTCTATTCAGAAAACTTACTCGAGACGATTGCAAATCAAGTAACTAGTAGAATCTAAGGCCCCGTTCATTTCGTTGATTCGAGTTTAAAATTTAAATTTTACTACAGTAAAAAACTCTCACAAACAATCACATCTAACTTTTTTACTACAGTAAAAAGCTCTCACATAAAATCACATCTTAATTCGAATTAAAAACTCGAATCAGCGAACTAAACGGACCCTAAATGCTTCTTTCTATGTTAATATTTCTACAAGTAAATGCGACCGGCACTTTTAGTCAAGGTTGTGAATAATAACATTAACTTACTGAAGTTTGACTTGGCAGTGGCAAGTAGCAGTTCACATCATTATCTTCTCTCTCTACCAGGTTAAGAAATGAGAAACTTTTTGAGCATTAGTGAAAATATAATCTCAAGTCAATATCAACTTTGTAAAAAGCATGGACCATGGAATATCTGTAAGTTGCTTTCAAACTCAATCCAAAATGGGGCAAGATATACATGGCTGGCAATTGCCGAGAACAAGACAAACTAATGCCCTTCGAAACCTTTACAAAGGACATAAACGTATAAAAAATAGTTGCCGAAACAAAGCACCCACAGACTACCGTATTCCCAGAAAGAGCCCAAGGCTGATGGACAATGTTAAGATTTATGGACATGTTACAGAGGAAACGAGAGGCCGTGATCAAATACATAACTGAAGCCAAAACATAGAACTCAACCAAAAATCTTGAAAGTTGTTAGCTATGTTAACTTTCCTCGTCCCACTTGCTCTTAGGAATCTCCCCCGAGTCAGCAATAATTACCTTCTTCCTCGGTTTTCCACTGTAGGTTCCAGCTCCACCTTCAATGGCAAAAACAGTGTCCATACCTTGAATAACCTTGCCGAACACAACGTGCTCTCCATCCAACCTAGAGATTTTTCACATGCGTCGTTAGAGATACCAAGACATGCCTCTTAGACAAAGCAAGAATGTGAACCCCTTAGACCATCTTCTTCTCAGAACTTTTACGAGTAAAAACAAAATCTGAGGTAAACAAATATGGTTCGAGAGTCCAGAAAAATTCAAGCTGGTCAGGCTAATAATTTTCCATGTAAAGATTGAAGATTACAGGAGTTAATTTCGCATACATTACAGATGATGTGAATCATACACAAAGGGTCGTTGGAGGGATGGAGAGTAGGAAGGAGGGAGAGTATTATAGTAATCATTCGTGTTGTTTGGTAGGAGGGAGAGAGTTGAAAGGATGGATAATAGTTATTTATAAAATTACTATATTGTCCATTTAAATTATTTGTTAATAGTTTGTTTTGAGGGTAAAATAGTCTTTTAGATGTAAAAGTTGATGGATTGATTCTATGAATCCTCCCATAAATGGAAGGATCCAATTTTGTGGGCCCAAGAGGATGAGCTCTCCCTCCATCTCTCCCTTCCTTCCTCTCCTCCCTCCAACCAAACAAATGATTTGCTCTCTCCCTCCACCCCTCTCCAGCCCTCCAACCAAACACACTCTAAGGCAGAAAAATCTCCTATGAATACATTAGAAAGCAGTTGTATATTTTATGCATTGTGCACGTGATTTTTGAGAGAGAGTTATTAGATATTGACAATGTAATAGCAACCGGTTTGGCGAGCAGGAGAAGATTGTGTTATCTTATCCTTAAGTCTTGGCTTGGTACGTAATAACAGTTATTAGGCCAGGAATAATGAATCCATAGATCAGAATGTCCAATTGGATCACCTATAATTTTCATAGATATTAATCCATGATGGAATCTAAAGCGAAACTTACCAGCTCGCCTTGACTGTGGTGATGAAAAACTGTGAGCCATTGGAATCGGGTCCTGAATTTACCATGGAAATGGTACCTGCACGCAATAAAAGTCAGAAGATTTGGAGCTTCATAAAACCATAAATATCCGACAAAGAAAACAACCAAACAATTCTAGTTAACTACCAGCATGTGAATGCTTTATTCTGAAGTTCTCATCTGGAAAGGTACCACCATAAATAGATTCATATCCCCTCCCATCACCATAAATGATGTCTCCACCTTGAATCACAAAACCAGATATTATACGATGAAGTGGTTTTCCCTTATAGTGAAGTTTTTTTCCATGAACACCTTTGCCTTTCTCCCCTGCATTTAGTGCAAGTTACAGTGAGCAAATTAGCAATCTCACACACAAACATAGACACGTGTTTGCATATGAATTTACAGACAGGATTTAAGCACCTGTGCACAAGGCCCTAAAATTTTCTGCAAAAAAATAAAAAAGGGAATATTAGGCAAGTATGTCATATAAGCAACGTGGCATCAGAAATTGGAGGGTAAAGAGCAAAGGTGAAAGCACTTAGCACTAGCTCAGAAGCTTAAGGTAAATAAGAAAAGTAAAATATATGTCCATCAGTGAGCAGGTAAATCCATAAGACCACTAATTGTACAAGCATTAATTGATTATTAGAATGCTTCAAAATGAACTGAAAAACTTAAACCAATTCACCATTCACTGTTGACAATCAATCATCCCATGGCTGGATATAAAAAATGACAGCAACACCGCTATCAAACCGTTTACTATGGATTTTTAAGACCCTGATAAGAAAGAACTCACGCAGAAGATCAAAACATACCAACAGTTTTAGGTACAACCTTCCCATATAATCCAATCACAAGTCTACCTGCAATAATTGAAAAGGTTTGCAATTGAATGTTAAAAGCAGATAGAGGAGATGGAAGCAAGAAATATAAAATGATAAAGCATCATAAAATCCATAAAGACCATAAGAACACACTTTTCTGAAACCATTAGCTGTTGATAAAAGGCAGTTCTTGAAGGCTGAATCAATATAAACAGGAAAGCTTACCCAACCGTTGTCCATCAATATCTACATCCAGGTAAACTCTGTGGGTTATTTCAGGAACCTCTTCCACTTTCTCCTCCACCTCCTCCTACGCATCAAATTGGGGATAATACATCAATATGTTTGTGAATATTATTGCATTGAGTTTCAAGCAATATATATATATATATATATATATATATATACTGTTGCATTGAGACCAGACTCTTTGTTACATTATTAAGAGTGAGCTAAGATTATTCAAACAACTCAGATCAGCTATAGAAAGGAACAAGTCATTAGAAAATCAACAAGAAAACCATCTGAATCACTCAAATTCACCTCTTTCGCCGTTCAAGATATTTCCAATCAGTCATCATAACAGAAACCACAATAAAATCGAAGGTTTCAGCGCAAATTTCGCAAGAATCACAACCAGATAGGGCAAAAAGACACGGAATGAACCTAAATTGAAAGAAAGGAGAATTGGCGTACTCGTTTGGGACTGGAGAAGGCGAAAATGAGGAAAATCGACAGGACGACGAAGAGGAGGAGGCATCTTGGCTGAATCAGAAACGAGATCTCCCGACGCATCGTTTGTGGATCCTTCTCGCTGTCACTCTCGCTTCTTTAATAATGTTCAGATCAAAAACTATGTCTTCCTTCTTGATCCTCCATGAAAATGGTTAGGTCCAGTTATCCTCTCCCAGAATCGCAGCAGAAACTCTCCACAGGGGAGAGAGAAGAGATCAGGGATTCAGAATCGGTAAATTGGGAGCGAAACTATGAAGCTTCGAGAACTTCAGTTATGGAGTTCTGCGTTCATCAATGGCGACTAGCTGAGTAGAAGCGAGATCGGAGAATAGTGGGCCTGGGCTTTGGTTTCTTTACATAATGGACCTGGGCCTATATCCTGATTCAAGCCGTCCACCAAGGGAAAATAGCAGATTTAAGAGGGCGTTTGGTATGCAGGAATCACTGGGAATCATATTCTCGAGAAAGTAATGGAGGGTAATATGATTCCTAAAAATAATACATTATTGTGTTTGATTCCATACAGAAATCTTTTTTAAATTCCTAAGAATATCACATTACTGTGTTTAGCTGTGCATGGGAATGTTGTAAATTAAAAAAAAAATCTTTTTTAAATGAATAATAATAATTATTATTATAATTATAATTATAATTATTATATTAATAATATTAATAATAATTATTATTATTATTATTACTATTATTACTATTATTATTATTATTATTATTATTATTATTATTATTATTATTATTATTATGAGATTCCCATGATTTTGAGATTCTCAGAAATTTGAATAACACCCTATTGGGTGGGTTTAGGATTACCCTAAAATATGGTAATGTGAAACTCATGGGCTTCACTTTCTTGGGTTTTAAAAAAGTCTAATAATTGTACCAAACATGAGAATCTGAAAGATTCTCATTCCCACCCCTATGATTACCCCATACCAAACGCCCCCTAAGAGTTCTCCTTTTAGAGTATGTTTGGTAGGAAAGAAAAGTAGAAGGAAGGAAGAAGGTGGAGGGATTTTAGGATGAAAAATGAAAATGTAGATTTTTTGGTAGTAGAGAAAATAGAAAGGAAGAGAAAATGGAGTGGAAAATAATACATGTGAGTCCCACCATTTTTTTTCTTTCCACGAGTGGGCAGAAAATGGGATGGAAAATGGGGACTCATTAAAGTGAGCAAAGTTACTAAACTACCCTTTTCTCCATCAACATCCAAACAAAAAATTTAAGGGTATAAAAGTAATTTATGAGTAAAATTTTTTCTTTCCTCCCAATTTAACTTCCAATACCAAACAAGTGAAGGTAAGCTCATTTTCTTTCCATCTTCTCATACCAAACAACATAAAAGAAAATCAATTTCCTTTCCATCATTGCTATTTTCCATTACTTCCATATTTCCTTTCTATCATATTTTCTTTCACATATGATAAGTGTCGTTTGTTAATTGTTATTATTATCCTTTTTTTTTTTTGTGGCTGAGAAAAATATTGTCCTTAAAGTATATTTCCCTGATGTTCTAATATATGTATTTTTGCATTTATCGGTATTTTTTATCCTCTTTTTTTTTTGTTTATAATTACTTCGGGCTTGTTGTTTACCTCTCTGTTTGGTTATAGGTATTCTTCTTAATGTCGTTTCCTCCACTGGTATCACTTATTAGTTTCATGTCGTTTTCCCTCATTGTCGTTTCTTTACTCACCTCCGTTTCATCTTTCTTCGTTCTTAATTTTGTTGTAGTTCATCAAGTGACTCACGTGCCGTTTCTTGTCGTTTTAAAATTTTGTGTCGTTTTTCTCATTCTTTCGTTTCAAATTTCTTGCCATTTTTCATTTCATTGTCGTCCATTTAGGTAACTGCCCATTACATCACTCCTCTCGCTCACTGCTTTTGGCCGTGTTATTTTTCTCGTCTTTTATGTTTGGTCGTCGTTTTTCCCCTTAATGTCGCTTCCTCGATTGTTGTAGTTTTTTTCTTTCTGGTTTCTTTACTCTCCCCATTGTCGTTTCATGTTTGTCGTCTATTTACTTTACCGTCGTTTATCACGTTGACTGTCGCTTCTCCTTATCTGTTGTCGTGTTCTTTTCCCATTTTCTGTTTATTGATTCTGTGTCATGTCTAATGTTGGTTTTTATTATTATTATTATTATTATTATTATTACTATTATTATTATTATTATTATTATTATTATTATTATTATTACTACTTTATTAAACACACTTCATGCCTATGGCGTCATTAGAAAAAACACATGGCTAAAAGTGTTAATATTGATCGATTCTCCGCTAATGTGACAAATTTTCCTTAAAAAAAAAAAAAAAGAAAAAGAGCTGTCACAGAAATTTTTCGTAGTTCGTTGGAGTCTCGTTTTGACTGAATATATTATTATGTGTACTTAAATATTAGCGAGAAACAGATTCGAAGACAACTGGGGGCTAAGGGCGTGTCTCTCGCCGTAGTATTTTCATGAATATGTAATATACAGTTGACAAGCATGAATACACGACACTGCAACTTGCATGCATTTCCCCATTATCATATTTAATGATTTCAGATCTTGATCGACCAATAAATTTATTTCTTCGCTTTTATACGGCGATTGCAAGAAAAGTCAAGTTATAGAGGTAATAATTAAGGCCAACTTGTAGGAGTTTAACGATGTCGATACAATTTTTAAAGCAAATCAAACTTTCAATTTTTTTTCTAATATTTTCCTTTTTCATGAAGCAACATTTTAAAACTAGAAAGTTTGTCATTCTAAAGATCTTATTATTCAAAGGATTAATTAAGTATTGTTTGAAGGTGGAAGGACTTTGATATGTGTGTGTATCATGTATAAATATATATATACACATATATATGTATTTTCTAACCGCATGAAAACTGTCTCAAGCATGAAAACGGCATGAGTGACTCGGGGTTTGTGTTGGAAGATCTCTAATAGCTCCGGTCGAGCATATTCCATCAATTTTAGTATATATAACGACATTAGTAGTAGGAGTAGTTGTACTTGTAGGGTCGTGATCGATGATCACCTCTTGATCTAAAAAGATCACGCAAACCCGTATGTATACGGTGAACAACTCTTTTTTTTAATATATATGTATATAAGAAAACAAAAGAGAAGTTAATGGAGTTTAAAATTTGAATTTTGTTACAGTAAAAAAATTTTAAAAATAATTAAATTTAATTTTTGTATTACAATAAAAAATTTTCATACAAAATTACATTTTAACTCAAATCAATAAATTAAACGAGCTAAACTCTCATGAATAAAACGAGTTTCCTGTATTTTTCTCCACATTGCTTCACTGGTCCGAAAGGTACGTGGAAAATCTGTCACCATGCATATTTAGCATAATTATATGTATAAAGGATTTTATGTGTTTTCTTTCTTCTTTCTTCTTTCCTCGTTCTCCTTTTTTTTTTTTTTTTTTTGTGATCGAAATGTGTCTTGGAAATTATATTGGTAGGTCTATAAGAACAATTTTAAAGGAAAAATAAAAAATATAACTCAAGATGATAAAAAAAACAAGTATTATTTATGTTATTTTACTTAAAAATAAATAATTATCATTCAATTAATAAAAAAAAATATCACAACGAAACTCAATTATTTATAATGAGATAAATAATAAACATCTATAAAATCATGATAAACTACGTATTTTTCTCAATTTTAAAAAGGTTACCAAAAAGAATTTGTAGTGATCAACGATTAATTAGGCCAAACAAACAAGTAATACATATATTAAAAAAATATAAGAAGCGCCATCAATTATTAGAAAGGTCGATATAAGGAGTTGAATTTTCCAAACTTAAAATTGTTTTTTACGTGTGTACTGTTTAAAACAGTGGGTACCAATGAATTTGTGGCCGTAGTTAGATATTCTGATGGAGTTGCTTATTAAGCCTTGTTTATTTCACATATTTGAGTTAAAATGTGACATTTTATGAGAATTTTTTACTGTAATAGAAAAAATTAGATGTGATATTTTCTGAGAATTTTTTACTGTAAAAACTTAAAACTAAAAACTCAAATCGGTAGAAATTTTCAAGTCTTTGATGAACTTTTTTGGATCATAATAAATAAATAAATAAGAAATTATATTCTGCCAGCTACTTGCTTTATTTCTGAAATGACTCTTTAGTGCAACTAAGGGTCAACTAACATGTTATGCCAACTGCCAAGAATGATGAAGTGGACGGAGCCACGATTTATTGATATGGGATTAACATTTTTTTTATCAAAATTATACTAACATATATATGTAATAATTTTTATTTATTAAATGTAGAGAATTATTAATTTAAGATAATTAAATCTTATTTATATACATACCTATTATATTAAAATTAAAATCACTAAATAAATAAATAAAAAACTAAGGGCGGCCATGCCCCTGCCTCCGTCATAGATTATTACAAGCACGTGCATAATTAAGCTACACAAAATAATGAAATTACAGCCTGTAATTCAAATTTCGTATGTACGATGTATTTATGCATGCATACCATACCCATATATGCCATACATACATACATACATACACACATACAAATATGTGTGTTTATATAAGTTATATATATATATATATATGTGTATATATGTATGTATCTCTAACATGAAAGACAGCAACAAGGGGTTTTCCATTTCAAGATGATCAATAAATAATTCCATAATGCAGAAGCAAGTTGAGATTTACAGCATTTTCGTTTGTGTAGTTGTTATTAACTGGCGAGAATATAAATTAAAAAAGAAAGGTATAACACGTTTGTCTCTCTTTTTAACTTTATTTTCGTTTTGTTTTGTTAATCCTTTTTTTTTTTTTTAATCCAGCTTATAGCTACACGCATCTTTCTTGAGAGGCAATTAAAGATGGTATTTTCAGAAGCATGAAACTATAAAGGACTTTTTTTTATGTCCTCAATTTCAGAACGAATGCACCTCTTTCTATCATCTTTTACTTTTTTTTTTTTTTTGGCTAATCATCTATCGTCTTTTACTTAGTCATATTAACTTGATAAAAACAAAAACAAAAACTTTAGTCAATATTAGTACAATACTGCACACCAACTAGCTAGCCAACCGAATTTTAAGATTAGTTGCGCGAAATTATCTTACCATAATTAAATTAAGGACTCGCTGATTTAAATTTTTAATTTGAGTTAAGATATAATTTTATGTAAAAAATTTTTACTGTAATAAAAAAATTAAACATGATAATTTTAAAGAATTTTTTATTATAATAAAATTTAAAATAATATTAGAAATTAATCTAAAAAGAAATTGGACAAACTTAAGCGTCACGTCGCTGTGCAGAT